TTATAATCGAAAAAACCCCAAAGTTATACAGGGATTTCTTCCCTTCAAATCAAGAGGAAGGTTCCATTTCTGCAGTAAAGTTTTCCGATTCTCCTCTGAGGAACATCATTTGAGGTATAGCCACATTTGGAAAAGGGAATATCGAAATTAAATTGTATCTGCTGGCGACGACCTACACTTTCGCTAATGTATCTCCCAGATGCTCTCCCCGTACGTGCGTTCGTTCGGTTTTTGGGGCGCAAATTAATTGTGGGCCCAAACGGAGCGTGCCGGCCAAGACAACGACGTCGACGACGACGACGACGACGACGAAGGCGACGCGCTTGATATGCGCGATTCCTTGAAATTGTTCGCAAGAAAATGTAAACTGCATTTAATTCAATTGAAAATAGTGCGAAACTGCAACGGAGACTGCAGCAGAGACGGCGGCAGCCCCAACAGCCACTGGGCGCAAAAATTTAATTGAGTATTCAAAAACGTAAACTCCACTTCACAAGGTGAGATACAGAGGGAGACAGCGGGCTGATACAGAGAGAGAGAGATATATAGAGACAGAAGACTGAGCAAGACTGAGCCAGAGGAGGACTGAAGACTGCGCCAGAGGGAGACCGAGAGACATTGTAGTGCTGGGACCGTTTTCGCAGAATTCTAAACTTGGAAATTAGGTTTCAGCCACGGGGCCTGGGAGACACGACAATGTTCTGGCCTCTGCTTCTGCTTCTTGCTTCTTGCCTCTGGCTTGCGGCTTGCGGCTTGTGGCTCCTGCTCCTGCCACTGCCTCTATCGGACGCGTATCTCACGCTATTTTGTTTAATTGCATTCTACATAGTTCAATTTCCAGGAATTTATGCAGCTAACCAAATAATTAATACCGGAAAAGTGTGAGAGCTGAACCGAACACCGTCCCTGGCCTAACAATGAAAATTATGACATAAATTTCCTCTGTCTTTCCATTATTCACCCACAATGAAAGCCAAATTGTAATTACCAATTAAGACCGCTTAGCTGAACCCACAAAAACCAGTCCGAAAAAAATGAAACTAGCCAACACCTGACCCTAAACCCCCCTCCCCCAAAAGTGAAACTCTGGCCAAATGCACAAAAAAACGAAGTGCGGACAAAGTGTGATGGAAGGAGAAGGCGTTTAATTGACGGCCAGGGAGTTCCAGGGAAAACTGAGTCATTTGCATAAAATGAGACAGGAAAAAGTTACGTTGCGAGAAAGTATTTGTCAGGGGAATGCTTGAGTTCGGATTGGGAAATACTTCGGCACTCTGCAGTGTAGATCCCCATGCAATACCAAAAATATAACTTAAATGGGATTACAATCCAGGTCGGAGCACTTGCTGGCCAGCTCCTTCCTATCAGGTGGTTGCAGGGCAGGGAGGGAGAATTCCGAGAATTACGGAAAGCAGCTGCTGGCTGCCCCATGCTTATAACGAGGTGAAAACATTATTTTTATTACCTAATTACCTCAATTTATTCGCGGTAATTGCGGAGTGCTCTCCAAGCGAGTTAATGGCCATCCATCGCCATGCCGTCTGGCCAACTTCATAGCTATTCGGCGGAGGAGTACTTGGGAATATATGAATTTTGGGGGCAGACAGTCTCCGGCCATCGGCAGAAAGCGGGTTAAGCAAACGGATTTCCAATTGGCTTGACTTTATGAATGAATCTTCACTCTACACATAAACACAGAAGATCTGTGTGAATGAAACACAGATCTTTTTGTATGAGCAATTTACGTTTGTTGAACTTGCTGTCTGTCAGTGGATGGAGTGGATGATGTTAGTGCTGTTGCTGGTGTTCGTCTGGAAAAACTACTGTCTGGCTATCACTACGAGTACGAGTACGAGTACGAGTACTTGTATATCTTGCATAATCATCCCATAATGAGCTCATTTGCATGTGTTTCAGTGTGAGAGTGAGTGTGTTAATTAAAAAATGTTATGCTTGGCTTTGCACTCCCCTCCACCCGCCACCCTCCACTCCACTCCCAATGGGGTTGTCTATGCCGAAACTACTCCTTATCAAGAATGTAAGATGTGTTCGCGATCGATGTTCTTCCTATCTAACAGTTGTCTGAATCCGAACGACTTAATCAATTTAGCAGAAAACAACTGAAATCAGCTTGTAGGAGCATCATAACTGCTCTCGACTCTTCTCCGATTCGACATCCCTCGATTCCCATTCACATTCACCGCAAGTCGTCGTCGTAGTCGTCGGCGGCGGCTGGCCCATTGATAACTTTGAACACAAATATTATCATTGTAAATGCGCCGCCTCACAGTTGGGCGTTAATATCAAGCTGTGACCTGGGAGGTGGGGGAGCCAGTCGATATGGATACTGGCACTGAGATTGCCTCCAATGGGGGCTACATTTGATTGGGCACTGAGCGACAGACAGGGAGGGTCAGGGAGAGGAACTGGGAGAGGGACTGGGACTGGGACTGGAACAGAGACGACGCCAAACAAATGCCCGCAATCAGCGCAGGCGGCGCTCGGTCCATTAGGCCAGATATAAAGCTTAATTGCTGGACCCGGCCAGGGCGCAGCAGGCGACCAATGTGACCAGGCTCTGATTATGCTGCCGATGCTGCCCGTTTCGTTTCTTCCAGGGGGATTTGGGGCTCCAGGGTTGAGGTTCCAGACTGTTTCGCTGCTTGCCAAATGATTTGATTACGTTTTGATTAACGCATTGCACTTTCCGAAGCGGTGCGATGCGGTGCGATGCGATGTGGTGTGGTGCGTTTTGCATGCAGCACCAGCACCGGCACCACCTGCGGCTACCTGAAGGCGTAGCCGGGCCTAATTAATAAACAGACGCGGGGACGATCCAGACCATACCCGACCCCCCCTTGGAGTGGGGCATGGGCGTCAGTGGTTGGCGTCAGCGTAGGCAGGGCATTGTAATTATATACGCGTAATTAATTGCCGCGACAATCGATCTGACATTCGAGATAAAAACCCGCGGCTGCTGTAGAAAATTTGCATTCGTTGGCGAACGCATTTATCAGTATTTGATGAATAATAAATGCATAATTATTTAATTATTTTACTTCTACCCAATAAAACAAGCAGCGATTGCATTTTAATTGTTAACAAATTGAATGCAAATCGTATGAATTGTTAGCAGGTGCTTCTGCGCCCCCCTGGGGCTTGAGAAACGTGGCATAACGAGGCTTAGATATATGTACTACGAGTATGGAGAGGCGAGATTAACGAGCAATGAATATGACAGGCCCACATTTACCTTCGTCTTGAACTATGAAATTTACTTCCTGGTGTTCGGGAACTTAATATTACAAATATATGGGGTCCATAGTCCAATCAGAATGAGCTCCAGGCTTACAAATTATTCAGATGCGATTCAGAGACATCTGCTTGTGCGCCTTGACATTGACCTAGCTCTTGCTGCTGATTAAGCATTGGCATTCGGACTGAGATGATGGTTTAATCAGCTTTAAAAAAAACTGCAATATTTCTATAAATATCATGTACTTACAGAACTATTTATTAGCTAAGATTAGTTTCAAATTCATCGACTGGTATCTCAAAGGGGTCTACTTTTTAGGTGTTTTCTCTTTTAAATTTGAATTGAAACAAAGCCCTCCTTTGCTTGCAGACCTTTTTTGCTAAATTATTTCATAGATTTTATTTAATCATCCAGGGGAAAACCGTACAAAAAAACTAACCACACCAAAACAATTTGAACAAATATTTGTTCACACCAAACTGAAACCGAGCTGAATTCGTGGAATATTTTTTGCTTATCAGCTACAAAACTGGCAAATAATATTTTAATTTATTTATTGAGCACACACGCACTCACACTCATGCAGACACACACACAGAGAGAGATACACACTTGTTAAATAAATCAAAATAACAAAATTATTTGACGTGTTGCTGGCGTTGCGAAGCGACGTTCAGATTGCTGCTGGGACTGCGGCCGACGTCGTGTTATTTCCATTTGTAATTAAATTAATTGGGTTTTAATTCAATGCGATAAGAGGCAGCAGCGGCAACAGCAGCAGTCGGCTACCACTGACGCTCGGCCAATTGTCAACAACAAATGGGGGAATAAATGGAATTCAGATTCGTTATTGAACCCGGCCTGACACTCGACAAATCGCGTAGGAATAAAAATTATAATACAAACAATTTGATAATCACTCAATTTTTAATCTTAATTCGATGATTGCTCGCCTAACCAACGCTCGGAGAGCGCAGAGAGTTACGAGCGAGTCAATAAGTATACGCCATGTGGGCCACATATGCTCCCCTTCCCGTGCCACAGCCACCGCTTGCTTGCCTGATTAATTAAATATTAATTGCCTGCTGATAAGAATGTTCTGTCGCTTCAGCCTGAACTCAATCCAACACGATCTCTCCGTTCATTCCAGGAATAACACAAGAAAAGCATAAAATGCCCCTGGCAGTCGTTACACAGTTGAAGGTGCATTCTAGGACCTCCAGACGTACTTAATTGGCAGCCAACTGCCATGAAAAGCATGAAAAGCCCCTGGCGATTGGCTGGACTCATTATATCATACTCCAATTGCACTCAGTTGTTTGCTGGCTGATGCAAGTGGCGTTGTTTCGTATGTAAAGTGCTCATTTTTAACCTAATGAGCTCTACGCAAATTTTCCTTTCTCAATTCGCAATGGAGGTCCACTTCAGCACCTCAGCAGTGGCTTGCAATAGGGCAATCGCGTTACACAATCATTCACTTAGGTGGAAAACTTCACACTTTAATCAAATCAATATACTATAGAGATTAAGCCCAGAGTAAATGAATGTGATGGCCACCCATAATGAGCTTAATGAATCACTGCTTTCCTAGCAATTGATTTTCCATGCCATCATCTTCAACTGAATTAAAACCAAGTGATTTGTTAAATTTTCTGTATAATTATATATTTTTTTCAATGATTTTTTGATGATTCTTCTTCTGCACTTCTTGTGTGTGTTTTTTTTTTTTTTTGGATTTCCACTTTTGAAATTTTTTTTTTTCTTTTTTTTAAGTTTTTATGATTCATGTTTAAACAACTACAGAGGATTAACGCTATATGGTATTAATATAATATTATGCATTTATGAACTATGTGTATAGGTCTGTGGTATTAGGTATATTTAAAGTATATTTAACGGCATAGTTAGAGCTTTAGATTAGTGTAGTTTAGTGTAGATGCTTACAGGTATTTTTTAAATACATACGATCCATACATCCCTCCATCCATCGGATTCTTTCGCTAGACTGACTTACGTTGCAAATTACAATATAATCAAATATCATTTTAGTTGATGCCTTTCCGATCCGTTCCGTTCCGTTCTTTCTCTTCATTTGTTTAATGCTTATTGACTTGAGTTTTGCAAATAAATTACTTGTGATTCTGTTAATTAATTTTGCGGCTTCTCCTTTAACGAACTAACGAAACATTCAAGATGGGATTTACGTGCTAAGATTTATGTACAATTAGGAAACATTTCTCTGCTTGCTTTCGCCTTGGTATATACAATGTTCGATTGGGTATGGAACCAGCTCGCTATAACTATCTCTTTAGATCTCTCTATCTCTCCCGCTTATAGTATTTACAGGGTGCATTTGAAACAACATTTGGAAGTATCGTAACATAAAATGCGCTAACATCACAGCAAAATTTTGGGGGTTTTCCGCACATCTCAGGCTCAGTCTCAGGCTCCAGCTCCTGCGCCTGGTCCTGCACCTGGTCCTGTTCCAGCGGGACGTGGCTCAGCTATTTGGTTATCGGAGTGCCTGCTCGGGGGAGGGCTATGGCTCGGGTGGCGTTGGTGGCGACCATGGTCGTACACCAACTGGGCCGCCACTTATCCCAAGTGCATCAGACTGGGGTGGAAGTAGCCGGCCATGGCCCACTGGGCGCCGGGCGCTCCTCTGCCGAGGGCGGCCATCTTGATCTTCTCGATCTCGGCCTCCTGCAGCCGCTTTGCCTTGGCCCGACGGTTCTGGAACCAGATCTTCACCTGGGTCTCGGTGAGCCGCAGCGAGGAGGAGAACTCCGCCCGCTCGGCAATGCTCAGGTACTGCTTCTCCCGGAACTTCTTCTCCAGCGAGAGCAGCTGCTGTGTGGTGAATGGAGTGCGAGGCTTCCGGTTGGGCTTGTGCTTGCGGAGGTTGCACTTGATCCGAGGCGGTTCATTGGCATCTGGAAGTGGAGAAGGGAGGAGAAGGTGTTGATTAGTTGATTGCTTAGATTTGTCCAATTAGAGGAGCGCAATTTGCATGCAAAGTAAAGGCCTGAATGAAATGCTGTCAACGATTGGCTTTTGTCTCTTCTGGCTGCAGGCTTCTGGCTTCTGGTTGCTGGCTGCTGTCTCTGTCCTTGGCCTTGTCACGGCTAAAAGCAGCGGCCAAGACAGCAGCGACGGCAACAACAATATACGGTAATTACTCCTTTAAGTGGCCAATAAATTTGCTGTCTAAACTATTTGTCAGACAAAGCAGCAGCCGCAGCCACAGCCAGCCAGAGCGACGGGAAATGCATTCCCCGAGTGGTCCCCATACAGCATGCCCCACTTGATTCTCTCTCTCTCTCTCTTTCTGTCTCTCTGTCGCTGTTGCTGTTTCTCTGTCTCTGTTCGATTCTTGCAACAGCAAAACAATTTTAATTTGGGCATTTTGTTTTGGCAAACAAAGGCACAGAGCAGAGACAGAGGCAACAGCAACAGCAGCAGCAGCAGCAGCAGAAAGAAACGTGCAATCCTTATAAAGACTCAAGCAGCAGCAGCAGCTGTTCCCTGCCTCATGCCCCTTACTGCATGCCCCATGCTCTGGCATTCGGCTGGAGTGTTGTTAATGAAAGTAATGAGCCTGCCATGAGGCTGCGCCAAACCACAAAGATGCAAATGGCATTTTAAAGATGCAGTCAGTCCGGGTCAGATCCCTCTCCGTTTGAGGCACGCGTAATTTATTGAGCATTTTGTTTCGAGGCACAGCCAAGAGGAAGACATCTCCGCAGTAGCGGTGCCACTGGCAGGAATCAAAATAAAGACAAATGCAAATGATATGCAACGCTTTAATTTTACGCATAATTACACAAATTGAAATTGTCGAGTGACAAACGTGGCCAAGACCCCAACCAGATGGTGGCCAGAGATGAGCCGGGAGCAGGGGCAGAGAGCATGCCTTTGTAATTGCTTTTTATGCCCTGCATCTGGGAAATGGGGCATGCAACAACAACAACAGCAGCAGCAACAATAAAGAACGGAGTATTCATCGATATAGGAGTACGAATATTCCCAGCCCAGAGACCCCCGAAACATGATGTGTTCACACACATTTTCTGGCACGTTGTCCAACCCGCCATCAGGCCATAAAAATCCAGCTTATAGTGAGAGCCAGCCCAGAGCCAGACCGAATCAAAACTAATAATCAACTTCAGGATGGAACTGGAACTGGAACTGAAACTGCACTGGGGGCAAAGACTGCAGGGGGGTGGAGGGGACTGCAGGTGATCGGCTCATTAAGTAATTAGTGTGACATGTCAGAGTTATGTTAATGCCCGATCAGCTCCGATCGGGCCCGATCGGGCCAGGCCTTATCTGTCAGTGATATGCATATAATTTCACTTATTTGTGTCTTTCAGTGTTTCAGCTTTTCAGTGTTTCAGTGTTTCAGTTTCTGTATGCAGGTCGTAAAAGCATTTCGTATGGCCTAACAAGGTGAAACGAAATGTGAACACTCCGATAAAGCCACCAACCGATTCCACCAGCAGTTCCGTTCCCATAATGAAGAGGCCCAGCAGCATTCAGAAATTTGTTACAGACTCGGAGACGCGCTCTCCGTCTTGGCCTGGCCTGGCCTGGCATGGCCTCTATAAATATAAATATATTTTGTATTTTGTATTTCTTCTCCTCCCTGAAGCCGAAGCCTGCTTTTGGCTGCATTCTGTGTGTAGTCTGGGGCTTGTTTGGTTTTGTTTGGTATTTTGTTGTCGCTCTTGTTGTATTGACCATAAATTAGTTGCCAAATTAGCATATAAACGGTCCGGACAACTTTTACGGCTCTTTTTTTCGTTGTCTCTGCATCGACTTTGATTTTATGATTTTTCATTACAATAATATTTATACAATTTTAGTGGCTGACTCGTGGTGATTATTGGGTATCATCCGTGGATTATTGTGGCAGTCGTTTCAACATATGATAATTTGCAATTCATTCTTTTACTGTGTCAGATCGTAAAGTCTCCTCCAATAATCCTCCTCTCGCCATATTGGTGGACTTGAGGGATCCGAAGAGATGATACACTCGGTTCATCTGCATTTGATTTCGATTTTAGTAAGAGTTTTCACTCAATGTCTCGTTTCGGTTTCATTTTAACAACTTTTTTTTGTCTCTAGACTCCTTTTGCATTTATTTCAAAATTAATTGCTCATTTGTCGCTAAATTGCTGGAATGGGGTTTCCATTGCAGTTGCAACTTGCTGCCAGAAACCGTAGCAAGTGAGCTGCATTCCCCGCCCGACTCCCCCCCAAAGGCCTATTACAAAACCTGCAGCAATCCAAGACAGAAAGAGATACAGATAGTGGGCAGAGACAGAGAGAGAGACAGAGACAGAGAACAGACCACGCACGTCCAAACCCGAGTGCGAGACTCGTTTTCGCCTTTTTGCTCTTTTATAGGCATTGTTGTTGCTGCTGTTGTTGCTGGCGTTGTTGCTGTTGTTGCTGCTGCTGCTGGGGCAATACGTCGCCAGCATCGCCATTGCCAGTGCAAATACATGCCACAAACGCCAATTGTGACATTTAGCCTATGTTTGTAATGGATTTTCAATTAATTTGAGTTCTCCGGTGTATTGTAGACGAGACAACGTATAAGACCCGATACCAACAGCAACAAACAGCAACAGCAAATGAGACAGGCAACAAGCAATTGTGAAATTTACGCGTATCGTTTGGCGTTGCCAATACCAAAGTAATACCAATACTGGCACTGGCACTGGGACTGGGACTGGGACTGAGACCGAGACGGAGACAGAGATGGAGACCAAAACCGAATGCCCAAACCAATCTTGTCCCCATAGAGTGACTGGGCCGCGTCTCTATATAGCTATATAGCCGACGGTGACAACGCTCGATTGATTTGCGGTGCAAATTGCTGGCAATTAATTCTTCATTAAAGCGTTTTCGCATAGCAGCTTCAGCTCGGACAACGTTTTTGCAGTGAAAATCGCCTTGGCTTTTGCAATACAAAGAAAACAGCAAAATGAGCAGATCGCCGGATCGCCGGATCGCTGGATCGGAGATCGATTGAGCGCTGGTTCGATCGTTCGTTTGGCTAATGCAATTACACGCTTACGGTCAAACGGCAACAGCTACTCGTAAGGGGCCGTCCCGGCTCTGCTCTGCCTCTTACTGATTTCATAATGAAGGATTTTAATTAGCACCAAATGTGTAAAAGGTGCAAAGGAGAGCGGGGCGCACCACTGGCGTTTTACCAGCTAAATGAATGATTATCTCCAGATCCAGGAGGGGGATGGCTCCTTTCACATACCCATACTCGTACAGGGCTATGTTATCCCTAACACTTGCCGGACAAGTCAATTAATTAGTGAAGTGCGCGTCAATAACCAGTTGGCTTAGATAGCTCTCTAGGTAGTCCACTTCTGCCCACTGGCCCCGAGATCGCAGGCAGGAGCTACGCCTCACAAATCTTGTCATATTGCATGTGCTTCCACATGGTTTTGCAATGAAGTTCACATTGCAATCGGCTCTGGCTGCCCCTGGGCAAGATAAGCTCCGTAGATAGTAGTGCCACTCCGTCCACGTGGGTTGGGCTCTGCGGCACACACGCATGCGCCTGCCTGCCACTGTCAGGTTCCATATGACAGGTTCCAAATGCTGTTTAATTACTCAGCTGCTGAACAACAACCACATCTACGAATACGAATACGAATACGAATCCGAGTGCGAGTACGAACAGCAGAAGTTCAAATTAGTGGCACTGCCAATTGTCTACAAATATTTAGCAAATGTTTGCCGTTGTCTGAATGTATTCCTCAACCTTGCGGGGGCCTATGCAGTGGCTCTTCTCCCACCTATGCCTGCCCCGGCTGTGCCACAACACCGCGCCGCCTCCTTTGGCTGCTGGCTGCTGCCTTTGTCTGGCTTCCTCCCTGACTTGGTAATTTAATGCAAATAAATTTTATTTGCCAAAACATACATCAAAATGTCTGCGCCAGGCACACCTACCCCTTCCCCCCTTATCCGCGTGTGTGTATGTGTGTTGCATGCAACGTTGTGTGGATGTGTATTTAGTACAGCTTATGCACGTTAGATGGCGTGCAGAATGCAAATATTATTTTAGCTTTTGACTGCCGTTCGGCGTCTTCGCTGGAGCCTTGCAAATGGTGTTAAAACGCATGCAAAAGCCCCCTCCCCTGCTGCTCCCCCTACTCTGCCCAGCTCTGCTCTGTTGTCCACTCAATCCTCGCCAGATACTAGTCTTCACAACCTCCAGATACTCCTCTTCCTCTTGCTCTGCCACCAGATACCCCCTGCTCCTCGTCCAGCAGCCGTCTGTCAACGTTTAAATTGCTGCCAACCCGTTGAAAATTGCGTGTTTTGGGTGGGCGTAGCTGACATGCCACACCTACCGTTTTTGGCCAGGCTTACTCCCTCTCCCTCTCTTTCACTCACTCACTGGCTTGTGTGTGTGTGCGTGTGTGCTGGCTTCTATGTACTCCACGTATTTATGCAATGACTCCCAAGTTGTTGCTCGTTTGTTCAGCTTGAAAATTAATTTCTATAATGGCTGCCAAGAAATGCAGCTGCAATGAAATGGTGGCTCGGATGGGGGTACGTGACTTGACTGCGCTTCCAATTAGTTAAATTATGAAAGCACATGGGAATTCTTCCACTTTTCAGCACGATAATAATTGAGTTTTCCCTTTGCTGATGGATGGTGTGGGCCACACACCAGAACAACCCATGACGGCTGTGTGTGTGTTCCAAAATCCTAATCGGAGACAGTTTACGTTAATAGGCCATGAAAAAATACTAACCAAAAGGTAGGGCCGACAAACGGTAGCGGATACCAGACACAGTTTAAGATACAGAGCACAGTAATGCCACCTACAGGTACAGATACTTCAAACGTTCTGGCAAGGCACTAAGTACCTAACACTTGACATAATGCGGCGGCAGATAGCCCTCGGCACAGGTCGCACAAGCCACAGGCAGAGCCATAGGCAGGGGCAGTGGCACTCAAACGGGGATCCGGGGATCCGAATCGGGCTCGGGATCGGGATCGGGATCATCAGTCAGTCAGCGGCAACCTGCTGCGCTAATGAGACCTGCTGAGGCAGGGCCAGAGACTGAGCAGAGCCAGGGGGGAACCAGAAAAAACAGCTGCCAAATGAAACAAAGTGAAATGAAGTTGTATACTTATACGTATACCCGTCTCCCCGTACTCCCATGTTATATATGCAGCAGTTGACAGCCAAATGACAAAATAAGCGGCAAATGTTTGGAATAGTTTGTTCTTCTATAAAGAGGGACAAAGGAGAACTCAAGTGGAAGTGGGAGACGATGATGATGGCTAGAGAATGATGAAGAGCCACATTAAGATTGATTCATTTCGATTCTAGAATGCGTTGACATGATTTCCTATCGATTGATGTGTACCTTAGAGCTCCAGAATCGAATTTCCATTCTCTCCGTAGCCACTCATTACCATAACCCTAGTGGCTTCCATAACTTTGGAGCATGCAAAATACTAGACGACGCCCTTTCATGACTCTTGGCCCGGGCCGCACTGACAGCTTTATAAAACAATGCGAGGGTCCAGCAAAAAAGGCCCAGCACAGCACAACAAAAACAGGAACAATGGCAGCCACAAAAACGCTGCAAATTTACACTTTTTTGCTGCTGGGGTTTTGTTGGGCAACTTTAAAAGGCGGAAACGCAAAGTTCGTGGATGCCAGAATGGAAGGTAAAGTTCACATGTCCGTCAGCCGGGCCGCCGCATCAAAGTGCGACTCCTTCGGGTGTGCACTCTTTTTTGTGGGCCAGGAAGTGGTGCATGGTGCAAAGTGTGAACTGTGCATGCAGATACAGATCGCTTAGACTCGCTTCAATTAGTCTGGTCAGTCAGTCAGTCAGTCAGACAACCTTTTTATGCGATTATTATTAGATTTTCTTTCGTTTGGGGGGCTGGCTGCCACAGACCGGAAAACACCGACCGCCGAAAAAAGCGACAGCCAATGAATAATCAGACAGAGCCAATTGAGTTAAATCAAAACCGACGCGACGCTGATGCTGACGCTGATGCTGACGATGTGGTGGATGAGATGATGATGAAGCGAGTAATGGGCCACCAGCAATCAGGCATATTTCATTGTTTTATTTAAAGCATCACAGTAATAATTGCCACGCACTTTGACTACAACCGAGAGACCCAACTGCCGAGAGGACCAGCACTCATGATCGTGCGCATGGAGAGGGCGATGGGCGATGGGCGGCCATGATGGAGCACCCGCATTGGAGAGAGTCATTGTCGCCGGCGTGCCTCATCGATGCCAATTAAGGCGAGGGGCAGCAGTTAATTGAATTAAAATGCGACACAAAATGGTGCAGATAAAGCAGCCAGAGAGAAAGACAAAGAGAAGGAGCGAGGTGTGGGGTGTGGGGTGAATACCTCCATAAGCTGTATCGGTTATGAATATTTTCCTAGCTTTGAATGGCATATGCATATTGCTCAGGGAAACATTTCGAATTTCAGACTCAATTAAGCAAATTTATATCCGCTGAAGACTATCATTTGCCATTTTCCAGGCGGACAAGTGAATATTTTTATTTCCAAATGAACAAACGGGTTAAGAAAGTTCAAATTTCTCAAAAATGTCTAGCAAAGTGTTTTAAAAATAGCAGGGGAAAAAAACCTCGAACATGGTTTGAAAAGCGGCTTAAAAAACCCTAAACAGAATCGGTTAGGAAAATGTTTCCGCCAAAAGTTTATCATTTCCTATTCAGACACAGCATGAGGACACGTAAGACAACAAAAGAGTAACATTAATATAAGGCGACACTTACCTCCACCGAATCCTTGTCCCGGAAACAGGCCCGGCGGCCCAAAAGGCGGCATTTGCCGGGCGCCCGGCCAGGGCACACCGGCACCCATGCCTCCCCAGGCTACTGCAGCGGCGGCCAGAGCACTGAACGGCGTCGGTCGGATGGGCACGTGTCCGGAGGCGGCCAGAGCCGCCGGCGAGAGGATGGTCGATTGCATCTGGGACGAGGGATTGCCGCCGTGGGGCGACTCTAGCGACTTTCTGCTGTCCAGGCCGTCGGGTGTGGAGCGCGGCGAGTCATCGGCATTCATGTCCTCGATATCCACAATGGAGTCCTCCTCCTCGTCGTGATCCACATCGTGCTCGTGCAGCATGTCCTCGTCGTATTCCAATTCTGAGTCCGTGTGGCTGCCCAGCGGCGAGTGCCGCTCGTTCTTGGCGGGTGTGGAGCTTCCCAGGTGCGCTGTCCCCGCTCCTGCTCCGCTGGCGGCGGATGCCACCGGCGTGGAGTTGGGCGTGGAGCTGGTGGAGGCGGGTGGGGATGTGGCGCGGGCATCGGCCTGGGCCTGTGCCTGACGCAGTTGCGCCATCGCCGCCGCTGCCGCCGCCTGCTGGTGTTGGTGCTGGGCATGGGCGGCTGCTGCCGCATGGGCGGCGTGCAGCAAGTGGGCGTGGTGGGCTACGGCGGCGGGATGGAAGGCATGCGTGGCTGTGGGCTGTCCCGCCGGCGGCATCTGCGGTGGCGGAGTTCCCGCTGCACTGCCTTGGGAGAGGGGCGAGGTGGCGGCGGAGCTGGAGAGATTCGTGGGCGCATCGCTGGCCTGGTTGGTGGGCGTCCGCGGCCGCGTGTCTGCGAGGAGGGAGGCCACACTGAAGTTGCTCAGCCGGGAGGTGGTCTTGTGGAGGTGATGCGGTGGATGCACTGCAGCCAGCTGGAGAGCCGCCTGCTGCTGGTGGTGCTGTTGCTGCTGCTGTTGCTGCTGGTGATGCTGCTGCTGCTGCTGCTGTTGTTGCTGGTGATGCTGGTGCTGTGCCTGTGCCTGGGCCAGGAGATGCTGCTGGTGGGCCAGCAGCAGGGCCGACGGCGATGTGGGACTGGAGAGCGGATGGAGTCCGGCCGCATGGGCCGTGGGACTGACGCTGCCCATCGAGGTGAGGGAGTTGGCCAGGCTGTTGCTACCGCTGCTGCTGCCGCTGCTGCTGCTCCCGGAGCTGTTGCCCAGCGCTGTGGTCGGCGGCACCGTCGGGCTGGTCATCGTCTGGCGCAGACCCGTCACTGTCATGCTCGTCGCTGTGCTGGTGGGGGCTGTCGCTGGCGCTGGCTTGCTGGAAAGCTTTAACATAAAGCCTTCAGGGTCTGGGTTCGAGTTCGATTTCGATTTCGATGCGGCAGTTCGTTCACTTGGTTCGGGGTTTACTTGTGGGTTTTACTCAATGGTTTTATTCTTGCATTGCTCGTGGCATTGCACAGAGATACTCTTGTACGAGTATGTTGTTTGTGTCGTTGTGGGTAATTTGTTTTGATTATCGTTTAATTAATTCGCTCGTTCATCACACGCGTTCCTCAGATACATTTATATACACGCACAGAGTCACCTTCACACACGAACGCGCTGCTGCTGCTGCTGCTGCTGCTGCTGGATCTACAAGACGGAGAGAGAGATCTACGGAGAGACACGTCCTCTTGAGATCACGTTCACGAGTAAAGTGAACGACGGTCTCTGCGGCTGCCTCCACTGTGGCTCTGTGGCACTGCAGCACAACCACTGTGCGCGCTCACCCACACCACTGCACGCAGAGGCACGCACACACAGCCGCCCGGTGGTGGCTTTTCAAACCGGCTGGCGGACGGCCGACTGCCCTCTCGCGCTCTCGCTTGCTCTCCCTGGGCGCGCCATAAGCAGCGACACCATTTTTATTGGCCTAACTGTTTCGCCGCTCGCTCTCTCTCCCGCTCTCTTGCTGCGTTTTTTCTCGCGCCGCTGCTGTTTCTCCACTTTTCTGCTTGCGCCGCCTTCTTTTCGACTCTGTCTCGCTTCCAGTGTGGTGAGTTTTGGACAGAGACGGCTATACGCCGGCGCACAGTAGCTGTCCCGCTCGCACGCCTAATTATTATTGAATAATTCAATCTTTCGAGCATTTTTCCTATACGAATGGGTATATGTTTTTCTGAGTTGCTGCGCTGCGCGTATTAGCATTTTATAACAAGCAGCGGCCGTCCGCTCCGTCCGCTTCCACTTTGGTTTTTCACTGTTTTTCTTGGATCGACTTGTCTTCTTTTTCTTTTTGTCTTGTTTGGTTTTTGTTTTTGCCTAATGCCGTCTCGTTCTGTCGCTTCACAGCTGCGGCTGGTGGCATTCATGACTTCATTTGAGTGCTCGCTCGGCAAATGCTGCCTACTGCCTGCTGCCTGCCGCCTGTCAACGTAATTGGCGGCGTCGTCGCTCCGTCTGGCCCGGGATGCTGATGCTGATGCTGTACCGCCCCCTCCCCCCACTCCCCCCACATCTCTCCGTAGGGAAAGGGAACCAAAATTTAATTGGTACTCCGTGGCGTATGAGCAATGTCCTTAGCGAAAATAACAATATAATAAATAATAAGCCCATCATTATCATGGCCGAGCATCGTCAAAGTCGACGGCACGGAACGGCACGGCATTATCGCAAAGCTGCAATCTCGGTCAGGAAATTATGTTTTTTCTTCTTTTTTCTCGGTTTCGCCTTTTCTGTCTTTTATGTCGCTCCTTCGGTGCGCACAACGCACCTCAAAAGATAAGCCATAAAAATCGTATCTGAGACCATAAATCGAGCATCCCTGGGCCCTGGCAAATCAATCACATATACACACACACACACACATCTACAAATACCAGATGCACAGATACACAGATACGAATACAAATGCAAATAAATGTGAAATATTCAAGAATATATGTAGAATTTTGAAACCCCTTCCAGAACGACTCCAGCGCCCAAATAAGCTTTATAATGGGATTCGCCATAAATTGCATAAAATGGAAGATTTCCTCCTCTCTTCCTCTGTTTCTTCCCTCTGTGTGTGTCTTTCTCTACCTACCCCCCGCTCTGCTCATAATTTTACTCTACAAATTAAACTCATTTTAAGGATTATTATGTGAAATTGTTGGCTTGAAAAGTTTTGCCAGCCATTGTTCTGCTCCTCTTTTGTTGGAGCTTTTCGTGGGGCAGGGTGCAGGCAGCAGGAAGTGGGTGGCGGAGAGGTGGCTGTGTGGGCGGGCGGAGTCTTTCCATTGGGAGTCTCTCCATTTCGGGGTGAAAGTTGGTGAAAGGATTTTAATCGCTATAGAGAGAGTGGGAGTCAAATAAAGAGCTCAATTAGAACAGTCGAGGGAGGAGAATGAATGCTGGGAGCTCATTAGGAAGCTTACGAATGGAAATTAAAAATTGTTTATTATTTGATATAATCTTTCATTAATTTAAAGGCGAGCAAAATAAAGGAAAATAATGGGAGCTTTAAATGAAAAATAAAAATGTAATTATACTACCACAATTTCAATTAATTTATTTGCTGTTGCGGAATATTCCGACAGAACGCTCTAGAGAATTGGATTACGGCGAAAATATTGTTCGAAAACGATCTCTAATAAAGGGAGATTCATTTCAAAGTCCCTCTCGAACTAGATATCACCCAACAATCCCATTTATTATTTTCACACATTTACCATCCACTCAATTAACAAATGATATATGTATTTCTCTTTACCACTTTTCCACGGCCCCCTTTCTGCATTCCGCACCGCTCAGCCCCCGCATCTGGGCACTAATGAAAACATTTCAGATCTCGGACAGTTGAGCACTTCATTATACCCGAGTATTCCGCTTTCTTTTCAATTAAACATTTTCAAATGCCAACCAAACGCGATAATAAAGAGGAGGAGGATGGATGGATGGATGGCTGAAGGCCCTCTCCTCATTAATATCATTGTCTTCATCTCATTTTCTCAAGTCCGCTGGCCGTTGGCACAAACAATTATAGCCAATTACAAATATTAATTTCTCAGACGAAGCACGTCGAGAGTGTTTCTTTCATTTTCCTCCGCGTCCGACCATCATCATCATCATTATTCATTGCGCTTTGAAATACGCAAATGAGAGCCGAAAAAGAATATATATATACTATACTCGTATACTCATATATAAAAAAAACGAGGCGCAAATTAATTTTTCAATAAGCATCAAAAGCGAGTCTCCCCCTCGTGTACTCCATCCAACGGCCCAAGATGAAACGACACCGGCAGCGGGGCTGCCAGTTGGCCAACAACAAGTCCACGCTTTGGACCAACTTGGCCAATTGATAAATGGCCGCCGCTTTGGCTCTGCCTCGGGCTCTGGATCTGGCTGTGTCTCTGACTGCGGGCCCCTGTCGATGGCAGTGCCGCGTCCAAAAGCGGCTTGTATGTAAATGTTTTGATAGTTTTTCATAATTTTTCGGAATTTATATTTCTCTCCGTCCGAATCGTGTTTGATTTTATTTGCCGCCCCGTCACTTGGAAGCTGTCCGCGGGGCTGGGGCAGGGGTGGGGTCTCTCTCTCTCACTCTGTGTGTGTGGGTGTTGCATATTTATGTGGGTCGAGTGGAGCGTTTTTTTTTCCATCAATTAAATGAGAATTTTGTTGCTGTTTGTGTGCCTGGTGTTTTATTGTGCAATTAATTCGGAATTGAATTGCATAATTGTTTGTATCCGAGAGTGAGCAATTACCCAGTCAACAAATTGGCCATAAAACAGTTAGATCCGAATATATCATACGATAGATAAAGTTATAGGTCGTGTGGAGAGGTATTACACCTGTACGCCCATCTGCATTATTTTACCCAAATTAAGAAGTATTTTCCCGTCTAATTACCAGCCCCCTCCTTTTTAGACAATCCTTGAGGCTGCCTACACATTTTAGTTTTCCCAAAGTGTAAATCTGATCAACAGACGACTACAGTGTACACCACAGAGTCCCGGGAAGGCAGCCAAGCGGGGCATAATCAAAATTTCATTATCATTATCCCTGCGATGCGTTAAATCGCTTAAACAGGCCAAAAAGCGGAGCGGAATCCACCCCCAGCCAAGCAACCAGCCAGCCAGCCAACAAACGCTTGACATGTTGACAGTTCCGAAAATGTGGGAAGGACCGAAGGACGAGGCTGGTGCGAAATTTACTCAATAAATGTTATTGAGCCAAGGCACGCAGGATGAACCAGGAGAAAGGGATGGAGCGACACACAGAGAGAGTGAGAGATAGAGCGAGGCAGATGGAGATGGAGATGGAGTGGGAAAAAGGAAGCTTCTGTGGGGTTGTTTGGCGAGTAAATAAACCATCCCCCTGCACCACACACACACAGACTCCTGCTCTCTCACACACACACACACACAGCACACAGCAGTCTCTTTCAATGCGGTTGTCAGTCAGTCATTTAGTCACAGCGGCTGTTGTGGCAATTGCGGCTGCCTCACACACACAAACACACACACACAGCTATATGGATAGCCCTGCTAAACGGTTGGGTGTTGATGGCCGTCGGCCCGGACCCGGCCCCGTCCCCGTTCCCGGCCCCGACTCCAGCTATGGTTCTGGCACGGCCCTGATGATGGCGCGCTCGTTTATTGAATTACATCCGCATGGCTGAGCATTTAACGAGCTCTGGCTCTTGGGTGTCGTTTTGCTGATGGCGTAAATGTTTGCCAAACAACAAGCAAATAAATAAAGTTCTGATTTGGCACTGATTGCCTTGTCGTCATCGTCATCGCCCACGTCCTCGTCCTCGTCCTCGCCCTCGGGTGGGTTAGTGGGTGGTGGGTTGCCTCAGACCTTGAGCTCTCAGAGTCAATCAGAATCTACATTGACTGACACTCGCCCTGGCGCCCCTACTCCTGCCCCTGCCCCTGCTCATCTTCTACCCCATTTTGGCCACTTTGCTCACATAATAATTGCCAACCGATAGCCCGACGTGTGTCGCTTATGATTATCATTACATTTTTGTCTATTTGCTTGGTCTCTGCCATTTTTATTAATTTATTTTGTACTCTGCGTTCTGTATTTGTCCTGTTCGGTGTGTACAGCATTATTCCTACCCTAGAAAAGTTCTTATCTTCATTGCCGGCATTAAAAGCGATAAGCGTAGGACAGGCAAAACTCCAGAGAGCCCCAGAAGCAGCACGAGACACCCCGACCCAACCTCAGCCCTGAGTCCTGTGTCCCATAAAAATGTAAATCAAATAAATTTACCTAATATCAAATTTCCCCTTCATCAGCAAGCAGGCTAACAAGGCTATGCCACCACCCACTCCTGCCACACACACACACACAGCTTTTTACCCTGGTTCCAAAACTTTACACCCTCTTGACGCCACTCCTCCTCCACTCCGCTCCTCTCCGTGTTCCTCCCCGGGCAGCATCATCATCATCATTCACGCTCATCCTTTATCCGCTCGTTTAACAATCGTTTAATAATTTAGCCTGGTAAATAACACTAACACTCCAATCCAGGACCAGACCCAGACCCAGCCCCAGCCCCAGTAGCTTCCTTGGAAAAAGGCGTACAGTGCGTGGGTTGGTTGTCTGCTTTATACAGTGGAACAATATTCAAACATGAGTGCTTTTAATGGATTGTTATGGTAATGAAAACAGTAAAAATTCTTAGTTTTAGTGCTTTT